TGTAGTTAAACAAGTGAAATCAACTGATGTGTCTATCGACACGTCAACCGAATGGATGACTAATTCGATTACTTCTGTTGTCTTTAATATACTGCTACTATAAATATAAAAATATAATTGACAGTTCATTAGATATACAATCTCAATGTCAACTAGGCACTATGATTAGACATATATTACTATGTACGTATTTTGTGTCATACGAAAAATTTTGATTACAGATGAACCAAGTATTTTGGGACTAAGATCCATTGTACTGTGAGATTTATTTCAAATCATTGCGCAATAACAGCAAAATCTTGCACTTTTTTAATGTGAATACATGGTCTTTCGAAATTTTCTTCCATGCTCTTTCCCACTTTATGCATGACACATCACCTGTACATTATCAAGTAAAGTAAAGATAAAAGGTATTATCTTTATTTTGGATTATTAGTCATATATTAAGTCTTTAATAGCATGTAAACCAAAGAAATTTTAATCAGCAATCATTAAGGTTCAAAACTCAAATACAGTCTACAACACAAAGATCAATTGTATTTGTATCTGGCAAATTTTCGTTATCATTTTTTTTATTTGAATACAAAAGTGTCTTTTACTTTCAAGGCACTTACGCGTTCTTGTTCTTTTATTTTCGACATAAATAAAAGTAATCTCGATTTCTTTTTTTTTCTTCCTCTCTTGTAATACTACATTCAGCTTCTTCCATTCGTCTCTGTAATATTGTAATTTTATCAAGTCCAAAACAAAACTGCATGTTTGATGTAGAAATGACTGCATCATAATAATAAATCATGATGCATAAGTAAAACGAAACAACATGCTAGAATATAACAACAGCAGAACGAAAACTTTAATCAGAATAAGAAAAAAAAAAGATTACAACCAAATCTTCCTACGCAATGGGAATATTTCCAGAGATGTGACTTTACATAAAAACGCATGTTATGAATTCATTCATAAAATAAGATACTGGCATTTTCGATTGAGAAAAATTTTCAAAACACAATACAATACTCATATATATATATATATACATATTTATAGCAAGACACTTTATACTTCATTTTGCTAATTTTTTTTAGATCTTCATTTAATAGGATGGCCGCTACTGATAGTGAACATTCAAGTTTATTTTCGCTTACAGATTGTATCTATTTTGCAAATGGTAATTGTATGTTCAAAAGGAAATGTAATTATCGTCATTGTCAAATAGCTATGAAGCAACTGGAAGAATGTTCCAAGTGGCCAGATACATGTCGTAATATAGATTGTCCCTATCGACATACTGGACAACGATTTAAAACACAAAAGTCAGCGGTAAAAGAAAAAGGTCGAGTGAGTTTCTTTTGGGATATTGAAAATGTTCCTATACCTAAAGGACAAAAGCCATTTGATATTATTCAACGTATTAGAGACAGATTAGTCGTCCAACCTGGTTTACAAGAAGCTGAATTTTCTTGTTTTTGTGATACTACAACAATATCGCATGAAAATCGACTAAGTTTGCATCATGCAAATGTTGATAATATCAATGTACCTAATGGAAAACCAGGCGCAGTTGATCTGAAAATACTGCTTGCATTAGATCGTTTTGAACGTAATTATCGTCCACCTGCTACTGTTGTCTTAATATCTGGTGATATTGATTTCGTTGGGAAATTAAATGACCTTCGTCATCGCGTTGGATTTCATGTCATTGTTATACATAATAAGCAGGTTAAACCAGAATTAAAAGCAACTGTAAATGCTCATTATCCATGGGAATTATTCATTGAATCAGTACAACAACAGAAACCAAATAAAAAAAATAGACCACGAAATCAGTCAAAAGAATGTCAAGTAGTTTCAAATGGTCAAGTCAACAATAATACTGAAGTAGAACAAAAACCGGCTCCAAAATCAAGGCAGTCACGTTTAGCTGCAAAATTTCATTTAAATGATGAAAATAATCGTCGTCAAAATGATTTTTTATATTTAAAACCTCCAGCAACACATGAACGTTTTCGAAGTACGAGCCAAAATCATGGACGAAGGAGCCGTAGTCTATCACGAAAACCACAAACCTTTGAATCTGTTAACCAAATCCCGATTTTCAATGGGGATGATAACACGTCTCGACCTGGTTCGAACTCAGTAGTTGCACCACGAGCTCAATTACGGCAGGGAACGAGTATTAATCGCTTACATCAAAAAAATATTTCTAGGTTTCCTCCATGTGAGCAAATACCATCAGCTGTCAGTGCTGATACAGCCAAAAAAGAACACAATCCAGTGTCATGTCCTCATTGTACTAATGAATTTAGTACAATTCAAAAGCTTCGTCAACATCAAAAAGATAAAAAACATTTATTCTATTGCTCGATCTGCAATGGTGGCTTTTCTACACCATATGGTTTAAAGCAACATCAAACTGCAAAAGGACATGACACTTCAATGAATATATCTAATGAAGACAAACTTCAATCTAACATAAACGATAACTTGAATGTCCATGAACTTATTACTCTGTTTGAAGATAAACTCAATATGTGTAACGATAAGAAGCGTTTTCCTGTATATCGAAAGCCTGTTATCAATAAGGAAAATATCGACATAAACATAAATAATGTTAATGACAAGAATTAGGCAACGGTATTGCTATTGTCTTACAGAATAGATGAAATCTATACTGTAAAAATACCTCACTGCTTTTAATTCTAACCATTGACAGATTTTTTTATGCGCCTTCGAAATTGCTTCCTTCTACCAATTGACTTCATGTTTCTTTCTCATTTTATAAAATGTGGTGGAAAAAAAGCGATTAAAAAAAATATTATTCTCATTTAACAAAAAAAAAATTGACTCACCCAAAAAAAAAGCTTCAAGAATTCTTCTTTTTTTAATAATTTTGTTCTTTTTTCTTTTTGCACTGTGTTATTCCAGAAAATTGAAAAAATTGGTTTTTTAACAATAAAAATGACATTGAATCATGTGGTCTTCTAAACCAGAGCTTTGAATAGTTGCATTGTGTATATCTTTTAAGGGATTAATCATATCGACTGTTGATGCTAAGTAATACATCTATGAAAATACTCTGAAAACTCTTATTTTCTTTTACAATCTAGCTTTGAATTAAATTGTTGCTTCCTACTATATAGTATCAATTTCAAAATGCGTTATATTCCACTATTTTTGTGAAGAAATTTTGATAGGAACATCATAGAGACACACCGGTTTTCACCATTCAAGAGAGAAGACTCGAGACCATCGAAGTCTATTGATATTTGATTGGTAGGTATTTGATGGAGATTTTCGAAAAGAATATTGTTTACCTATTTTTCTTTTGACTTAGACTTTTAATAGGACTAGTTCACAGAAACATTTTTTTCCTTTCGATCTATGCAAAGTCATCATCCCTAGATTGTTCTGTTCAAGAGTTACAAAACTTCTTCTGAGGCACCCTATTTCAGCCAATTGATCTGTTATATCCAGGAAAAGCATATAGACGATGGTAATTTACCATGTTGCGTCCAATGGTGATATTTGGTTTTTTGATTCGAACTAATCTGACACTGTTATTTTAATGTTTGCAAGATTTCATAATCAGCATTCATCTAACAAAAGAGCCGGGTGTGGGTGGGTGTGCGTGTGCGTGTGCGTGTGGGTGTCGGTGTGGTTGTGGGTGTGGGTGGGTGTGACTGTGGTTGGGTGTGGTTGTGGGTGGGTGTGTGGGTATAGGATGTGGGTGTGGCTGGATGTGTGGGTGTGTATATCCTTTTCTTCTCTTACAGTCATCCACACCCACAGCCATAGCCACACCTACCCACACTCCACCCACATCCACCCCACACCCTCCAGAAATCGAACTGCAACCAAATGTTACTAGTTGACAAGTTTATGTTGAACGACCAATACTAACG